GGTCGAGTAGGCCCTGGGTCTGATTTAAGTTTTTCGGGACACGTGTAGGTACTGGAAGTGTGTTTCAGTTCCCGAGAAAAAATTTAGGGAATCTAAAACTACCCGTAGGCGCAGTGTAAAGCCGATTTCAGACTCCAAAACAAGTAAGGATTTCTCACCATATTTTCTATCACGGTATTAAAGCTCAATAAATGATAAAATGGTATTTCATGAATTGTGTATAATTAATTAAGGTTGCTAATGGAGCCTGAATCTGATGTATTTTTCGGTCAGTTGTTGTTTGATATATTTTACATTTTTAAATGCAGTATGGTATCTGATGTGTTTATTTTATAGTTTCGTATGCATGAATCACAGTTTCGTTTATTATGGTTTGAATTATTGTGAACCCGTTGTTGTCTTGTTTGGTGTTCATTACTGGTTTACGTGTTTATGTTTGATTGGATAATTGAGACTAAGAAAAATAGAAAAAAGTATGTGAATTGATAAATAGATGATGTCGACAACCTAACTAGATATTCTGGGAGATGGTGGACGGACCAGGTCCGTAGGGAAGTCTACCGGGAACGTGGTCTCTCATATTGGACGGGATATGGAGATCTTAAGTGTTTTGGTGCCCATACCGGACAGGGTATGGAGATGACCCGTTTCACCCTCATACCGGACGAGGTATGGGGACGACCATGAATTAAGTTATCAATGTGAATGGTTCACGTGTAGTAGAGACCCCTATGGATCCCCATGGATACTAGTAGGCTGATAAAAGAAGAAAATCTGTTGTCTGATGATTGAAATGCAAATGTATGATATGTGTTATGTTATAAAGTGTGTATGATTTCATGATATTATAATGTTATTATTTTCTTATGTTGTTTTCATGAAGCTCACCGAAGTAAGTGGACAGTAAATAGTTTTATTATTGATAAATGAATTTATCATTAATTATGTTCTATTGGTTGTTTTTGTTTTCTAACAACCTTTACTTCTGTGACAGTGAGATAGTGTGATGTCTTTACTTGGCTAGTGTAGTTCATTCTTTATTTAACAATTTCAGATCAGGAGAATTTGGTTCCCGAGCCCGTCCCGTAGGAAGATGGCGAGTAGATGTCTAAGGATTTCATAATTTTATTTATAACATTCATTATTAGTATTTACCTTATTTAGTTTATTCTTTCATACATTCAATACGTTTTTTGTTATTATGTAAGAGATTTTAATCAGAATTCTTATTTCGCTTTCGCACTTAGAACTTTTTAATAGATACATTTCATTTTTATTTTCGGGGTCGTTACATCTTGTGTCAAAAAAAATATTAATATATATAAGGTCAATTAATTATTATTAGTAATAATATTTTTATATCATGTAAAATTATTATATATATATATATTAATTTTACATATGTACAAAAATATATAATTCAAAAATCATAACCATCTTATTATAAATTAACAATTTGAAACTCGATTAATATTTATGTCAGTAAAATTTATGATCATAAAGTAATTCATAAATTTAATATTTTATGTTATATATAATTTGTCATTATAAATTCAAAATCTTAATCATTAATTTAATACCAAGTTATTAATTTATAATAACAATGTTTTGTTAATTGAATTATATATCTTTTTACATATTTATATTAATATATATAATACTTTTAAGTGGTACAAAAATATTATTATTTTATATTTATTAATATTTTTTAGACATATTCCATTATTAAATATTTTATTAACAATCTATTGATATTAAAATTAAGATAGTTTAGTTAGTTTAAATTGTCAATTTTACACATAAGACCAAGATATGTATATTCAAATTCCATTCTCACCATGTCTTGTTAGAAATTTTTTTTGACATATCTCGTTATTGTATGTTAATGCAATGTGTTTATTTAACTAAAAAATAAAGGGGAATGTGTTTCTTAAAAAAGTTTAAAGTACAACAATTAATTTATAATAAAAAATATTATAAATTTAAATAGAAAAATAAAAATAATATAAAAATATATTAATTATTTAAGTCAATCTTAAATGTTAAGTCCAAGATATTTAAGCGAATATTGCTATAACATAATATATTAAAAAAAAAATTTGTTTATTTATTATATATTTTATTTTTAAAGTTATTTATATTATTTTATAATTTTTATTAGTAAAATAATTATGTTAGATTTTAATTTGTTAGAATTATTTTGACTTAAATAACTTAATTTTAATGAAATATTTATTTATTTTTAACACATAATAAATACGTATTTATTAAGATTTATTTCAATTTAATTATTATAATTCTATAAATATATTCATAAAATAAATATTTAATTTTATTAAATTAAAATTATAGGTTAGTTACCACAAATATAAATAAATATGGTATAAATTCTCATTCTCATTTAAGTTCTAAATTATAAAATTCACCTAGAGTAGAATATAAAGTATTAACCAATTAACTTTGGGTTGTTAATGTAGTATTTATTTTATAACTTATAATATCAATTGCAATATTTGGTAATTTCACTTATATTTTAATAATTTATTTTTTTTAAGATTAAATATTTGATTTGACACTTGAAAAGACTGTACAATGGGAAAACAATTAACAACTTTTTTCTTTCCCTTCCCCGTCCCTTCTGTCCCAGGGCCAAAAATTAGAACAATCTCCTCTTTCTTCCACTCCAACACCTCTGCTACTCTCATGCCGCTCCATCTCTATTCCCATCTCCGTCTGCAAGCTTCACCTTCGTTCTTCACTTTCTCTTCCTTGCCGTCAGCTTCTTCCAGTAAAAGCTTTTCTAAAAAATTTCCGCCTTTTCCATCATCGTTGATTCCGTTCTTATCACCACATACTTGGCTCTTTGCATTCCTAGTTACAAGTTCAAAATATATCTCCTTCATTCCCATTACCTATCTACTTCCATAACCAGCCTCTTTGTCTAGATTCTTCATTCTCAGTCGTTCTGAATTATATCTCTGCCTTTCCAGGCCACGCCGCATTACATCTTTTCCCTTCTCCACTGTTGCATGAGTCCAACCCGGCAAATTTTGGTCCTGAAAAGTTTAAGAACTCTGCTAAAACAATGAGCAATTCTTGTGCACCACAGAAACCGACGTTTTATGCTGATCTTCCTCAATCCGTTGAGGAGTTGTTACAGACTATCTGTGCGAAGCAGAACCAGCCGCCTGTTGTAGGTTAAGACTAGACGTATACTCGCATCACTTGCCGAAGTAGAAGCTACTAATATCCTGCGCACTATATCTACCCAGAAAATACGGCGCACCCTGGACGGCTTTATCATTTACATGGCCCAAAGGAGTCGTAATGGTTCCCCCTCTCCTCTGAAATGCGTCTGTTCCTCTCCTTGCAGTCCAAACCCCATTATGTTCGGTTAAGAGCTCTTTTGTTTTATGTTGGCGGTTTTTTCTCTTGCTAGGGGTTAGGTTGTTGAGTCTTTTCTTGGGCTTTATGTGATAGTTTTTCTCTTTTGCATTTTAGAACTTTCTTTGTTATTTAATTAATTGTTATTGTTTTAGGTGCCTGGTTGATATCTCTTTCAGACTTTCGTTAGTTTAAGCTTACCTCGCCAGCAGGCTTTGTTTGTCTTGCTGACAAGGGGTTTGGCCTGAAAATTGGGATTTCTTGTGTTAAAATTTGTGGACTTCTACTGGCTATTTTTCTTTTACAGCTTTCCACTTTCAACCGTTGTAAGTGTAGAGTGTTCTGGTAATGTACTCTATTCAGTGTTCGTTGCTGGCTTTTTGCAGGCACCAATGATGCCGTAATGATGTCTCAAGACTCACTGGATAAAAACCGAAACTTTCCTCCAAGTATTTTAGATGGAGCAGACGGGCAAAGGCATAGTGCACAGTTGGTTGCACTGGGAGAACTTGAATTCAGGAAAGCGTTCCTCTTGCTGAGTTACCTCGGCGAGTAAGTTTGTCTATCATTAATTCCCTCATGGTTTCTTAATTTCTTAAACAGAGAGTTAAAATTTAAATAAGCAGGAAGAGGCTTGAAGATGCTATCTCTGCTGATGAAATACGGAAGCTAAAGGATTTGCCCATGCATAATTTTGAGCTGGAAGTTTGGAATGCATTTGGTCAACAATACATAAAGAAAGAGGAACGGAAGAATGTGCTTTTGATGTTAGTGCTTTGAGAGTTTTTGATCGTTCGTGATTATAATGACGTATGTACTATTTAGAATCTTAAAATAAAATAACAACTAAAATACCTTTCTTTTATGGCTTTCAAAATAAAGCTTCTGAATTGTCTATGCCAAGATTACACACTTGTTTCCAATATATTTTGGGATTTTGTTTCTAAGAATGGCAGAAATCAGTCATGAGGGCTCTGTCCTTCTCCCTCTCTGTGGCTCTCTTCCTTAGGTGGACGGAATTAAATATCATTGTATTGGATGATGAAGGGTTAGAAATAACTTTATTTATTTCCATTTCTGTTTTCCATGTGGGCAATTCTAGACTTTTGCTCTTAATGTGCATTTCAATAGTTGTAGCTCCTATTTATAACATTCTTAAAGCAAATTTTGTTGAACCATATCCAACTTTTGACAATGAACTTGGACTTTTACATATCATCCATAAGATGGAAATAAGAGCTATAAGTGCATAAGAGTTTGACAAAATTAACTTACCATCTTATGGAGTTGTAATTCTAGACTGAAGGTTTATTTGACCTACAGCCAGTTTTTTATTTGCTTTGCAGTTCTTTGATTGGGATTCTGGTCAAACACATCTCTATCGCTGTTATGTTTCTCAGAATGGAAGTTGCAGGTTCCAGGTTCCAGGTTCATATTTATTCTTCATAATGAGGCATATAATTAGGATATGCACCAAGTGCTTGGATAAAAAAATGTATTTAGTTTACTAACAGTAACAGGTCCACCAGAGGACTAATAAGTCTTTCTAAAGGAGGTACTTTATTGGTCATCATTGCTTAATATTGACTATACCGATTCAGTGCCTTGTGCATTTCATGTGAACCTTATGCATATAAAGGAAGTCTATTTACATGGTATTAACTGATAGCAATAGTAACTCGTGCTGATGCATGTCTGTCCCATCTGCAGAATTAGCTTGCATAAGCTGATTTCTCTCTTGCGGGTTATATCTGGTGCTTTTATTCGAGTCCCCTTAAGCTTGTATGTCTTAATGTCCCTGCAATTTAGTTTCTCAAAAAGTTTTGCTGGATAGATGAATATTCTCTCATGGTTTTACTAGTGGATTTCATGTTCTCTTGCACATGTTCTTGGTGGTTGTATTTCAGTTTTCCAGTTTTACTGTGTTTGTGTACTGTGGTTAATATCTTACCATTCCCATTAATTTTATTTTAGGGCCCTTATTTGGAAAAAACTGCAACTCACATGCACAGGGTCTTGGGGGATGACAATGTCTTGATGGTTAAGTTTGCAGAAGAAATGACAAACAAGGAAAATTCTGCCCTTAGTGTTAATGATCTTTATTTTAAGTACCATAGGTTTGCAAGTGAAGGAATTTTTGTTGGTTTGCGTCGCTACCGCTTCTTTGGTTAGTTCTCATCTCTCTACTGTCAGTGAGTTTGTGTTCTGATTTCTTGCTTATTCATTTATTCTGCCCGTGGTTGTGTAGTTTTCTCCGAATGGGTATAGCTTAAATCGAAGGACTATGCAGGTTCTCTAGTTTGATCATCTCGCTGATAGGTGTAATTGTGTGGGAGGGCTTATTTTGTACCCAAGGGTGTTATTGAGATTTGATAACTACTTTGGTAGCCTATGACTCTTTATGCTGCTTTACCTTTGGTTAATTCTTCCTTCCAGTCATCAACATACCACAGTACAAGCATGAATAAAAGTGTTATTGTCTATTTATCTAGTTAGGAGTCAGTTCTCTGACCTGCCATATAACCATTATAAGTTTGGGAATATCATCAGGATCTTATTCTTATGCACTGTGTACATATGCAAGAACAATCTTCTGCTTTATTCTTCTTCTTGTTTTGGTTTGCCATCCTACTTTATAAGTTAACACAAAATTCTCTTGGAGTTTGTCTTTTAGGAGCTCTTGTAGGGAGATCTACTGCACGATTGAGATCTGAACTTTCATCTATAGTACATCCAGGAAGCAGGGTTAAGTGTGAATAAAATCCATCTTTGGTCTATTAGTGCATATCTCTAAAAGTGAAATTTTATATCATGCTTCCATAATTAGATGTCAAATTGTATGCCACAAGGTTGCAATCTTATTGTCTGTTTAAGAACATAAAGCAATATTTTATCTTAATATATCCAACAATCAGTGTTTAAAGATGGCGGAAAGGAGGAAAAGAAGAAAGATTCAACTACGTCATCAGTCAAGTGTTATTTTGTCCACATGGAGTCCAAGGCATTTACTGATAAGGATCAAGAGTATATTTTATCTGGGAAGACAATTCAGGAAGCTAGATCTATTTTCATGCATGTCCATGGCTTACCAAACATTGCCAAATATATGGCAAGGTTAGTAAACATTAACTTCTTCTTCCATCCATTTGCTTTCCCCTGCTCTTCCTCCTTGGGACTCATACAAAGAACATTTGTAAAAGAGCCATTCTCTATTGGGCATTCAGGTTTTCACTTGTTTTGTCAAGAACTATAAAGGCACCAGTTGATTTAGGGGATGTAAATATTGAGAGGATAAATGATATAGAATGCTAGGTAAATGTAGACCGTGGTTTAATGTTGAATTGTTACTTAGTACACAGCTTATGTATACCTTCTGGTAAAATTTCTATTACAATACCTCTTATTTCTATTGTCTTTATAAAATGTTAGGATCTTGACGGAAGTGATGTTTATGGTAAAGACGGGGAACCTCTTATACATACAGATGGAACTGGTTTTATATATGTGGATTTGGCTATGAAATGCCCAAAAAATATATTCAAGGGAAGGTGCATGGCTAATGGCAGTAGTGAGGTTTGTGATTGGAGCTTGATTTGGCCCTAATTTTACCTTCTCCTCTCTTAATAGAGTTGAGCTTAGACTTTTGCTAAGAATATATCTGAAATTCATTTTGATAAACATGAGGTCTGGATAAATTTATGCTTAATTGTACTCTTTGAAATTGTTGACCATTTTGTTGGTGAATATATGAAAATTGAAGTATGTAGGAACTGAATCTCGGTTGACTGGCTTTATTGAATGCCTACGATGTCAATGGAGTGTTCTTGACCTTCCCAAAGACTTCTTTTCTAACATATAAGATTAAGGTCTAGAAGAAGAAGCGTTATAACGTGAGATAGATTAAAATATCTTATATTTGTTGCAGATGATTGTAATATAGAATTATAATTGATTGGTTTAGAATAAATTTAATTTATGATTTTAAATAGATTATTAGTTGTATCTAGCTAATCTATAATTTGTTGTAATAATATAGATAAAACTAGGTATTTTGTAACTTTAGGATTTTATAATAGTTCCATTTCTTTAAATGCATAATTTTCTATTTTAATTTTGTAATTACAGTCATATTAAGATTTTGTATTTGAGCACTATAGTTACCTTTTGTGCTGCTACAGTTAAACTATGAAGGAACTTTCGTTGTGATTTTGTATGGCTAGAGCATGGGGTAAAGGAAAACATTTCGCTTGATGTAGGATAAGAATATTCGAGAATTGAAATATTTTGGTATTTTAGATACTCATGTAATTATAATCTTTATGTATTATTATAACTAGGCAATTACAGTTTAACCCTGTGTTATTTGACATTTTTCAAATTAAGAACTTATGTTTTACTTTTGAGCAATTCATTACCTCGTGCTCTGATTTTTTTTTTTTTTTCGATATAAAAAGTGTGAAGTATATCAATAGGCACCAAAAGGGGTGCTGTCCTTATACAAAAACTTTATAAAGAAGTAATGATCTCAATGACATTCCCAAAATTATCCTCCTAATATATGTCATATCCCAAAATCAAAGAAGCAAAAAAGATGAAATCATCTATGCCCTAATTTTTATCATCTCACCCTATATATCATCAAAAGCTCTACTATTTCGTTCTTTACAAATGATACAAAAAATAATCATAGGAATAAGCTTTTCAATTTTTTTCTTTTTATAAAAACGCTTCTGCTCACAGTTCATCCCTCACCGACCCAACAATTGCTCACTTGATGTCAAGGAGATTGTGCACCATAGCCCACTAGTCATAAGCCATCGGACCCGAAGGAGAATACGATTACACATTTCAGCAACACCTTTACAAAGATAACATATGTTGATCATTATTCTACCCCTTCTCATCCACTTATCAATAGGCAAAATGCATTCCCTTTCTGCTTCCCACGTAAATAAAGCTACCCTTGGTAGAGCCTATGTTCTCCATATCTGGCTAGCTGGGAAGCAAGCCTCAGAGTTCCCCATATTATGTGCATAGGCCTACCGCACGAACGGCGTGCGCATAGGGCGCATAAAGCTGCGCGCCCGTCTGCGCACGATGTCTCGCATGCATAGACCTCGTCTCGCACCCCGTTCAGATTGTACGTGCACGCAGGTTCAAGTCCCGTGCTGGCTATGTGTGCACATTCGCACTCGCCGTGCAGGGTCTTTCTCTCAAATGTTTCCTGCGGGATTTTAGGTCATTTTCTCATCTGTTTTTCTTGAAACCTTTTTAAGAAAATTTTA